CTTTTTTTACATTTACATAATATGCTATTTTGTAGAGCTTGGGAGTCATATAATTTAGGTTCATGTGGGGAAATATAATAATACATTTTCCAACAGTAATTTTCGTTTTAAAAATATGTAATTAATTACCAAGCTCGTTTATCAGAGAAACGAAATTTCCAATGTGCAATGTAGGAGTGTTAGGAGAAGACAAAAATGATATTTAGCAAATGAACGCATTTTAAAGTTATTCGACTGTTCATTCGTTATAGCTTTATTCTTAGATTGTTGGAGTAGTACTATTTCATGTTAAACACTCGAAAACCTAAACGTATTCCAGCTAAAGACGCCAGAGAAACGTCAAATAGTGGAGTCTACACAGTATTCGTATTTAAAATGCTTTAAGTACGCTTACTCCAAGCATAAATTAAGCAATTTCCAAAGTATTTTTCTTTTGGGGCTTCAATGTCAGCAATATTACTATTTTGTTCTTTACGATTTATGTAATTGTATTATTACTAAAAAGTGTTCAGTTTGTATTTTAATGATTACGAGTAGGAATACTCAAAATTAAGCCATTAAGTAGTGCCATTTTATGGCAGAACTAAATTAAGTGAAGAAATTTGCGCGCAAAAAAACAAAAGAAATAATAATAAAGGTAAATTTCCCAACGAAAATTGTCCACAATACATATGTATTCATTCAATACAACTTGGGTCACTAATAATGCCGGATGCCAGTTCGTTTATTTATGTATAGTATGATGGTATGTACAGTATACTGTATTTACCTCTTTTTATCAAATATTTTTTTATTTTTATTTTAGTAAGCTATATTAATGTCTAATTGATTTTAAGTTTAAATTTTCATATCATTTTTGTTGAAATTTTAGTACATATTTGATTTTACAAGCGCAACATAATAATAATTCAATGCATAATGCCTATGAATGTGTGCTCTTTGTCGTCATTGTTTGTCTCGTTGCACCACTTATCGTACATATGTATGAGAAAAGTCCCTTATTGGCGAAATAAACCTTTTTGTTGCCATTTAAACTTTCTACAATATTTGTTGTATTACACTTTCTTCATGCTAGTATGTATAAGAAATAAGTTGTCTTTATTATGTTCTTGTATTCCTTTGGCAGAGTATTGTGGAATGAAAATGTTTATAGAAATACAAACTGGCAGAAGAATAAACAATATTTAGATTAAAATTAGTATATGGTATGCTGTGTCATTTTTGACCAACTTTTTTTTTCAACTAAAAAACAGGCTAAAAACTTTCAAAAAGGTGAAAAAAGAGCCTCTAAAAATTTGAGCTCTTAGTATTATCATTAAGTGGTGCCTGTTCCTAACTTTCCATTTCACATATAAATAACATGGAAAAAAATGTTTCGTTTTTCTTATTTTTGTAGCTTGACATATAAGCATTGTAAAAATGAACTGAAAAATTATTTTGGTAGGAAATTGAACGCTCTGCAAAAAAGTTCAAATTCATTTTTTTACAGAGTGAGCCGTTCTGAAGATATTCAAACTTAAAGTTGCAAATGTAT